GGTTTTTGATTTGGATGAGCGGTGTTGCCATGGTTACTAAAAATAGAAATTTCTGTGAAATTCCTTTAAAACGCTACTCCTCATACAGTTTTGGTCTGATTTCAATATAACTTAGCACACAAGTAGACTACACTAAGATACATAATTTAGTGCATCCGTTTTTGATTTGGATGAGCAGTGTTGCCATGGTTACTAAAAATAGAAATTTCTTTGAAATTCCTTTAAAACCCTACTCCTCATACAGTTTTGGTCTGATTTCAATATAACTTGGCAAACAAGTAGACTACACTAAGATACATAATCTAGCGCATCGGTTTTTGATTTGGATGAGCGGTGTTGCCATGGTTACTAAAAATAGAAATTTCTGTGAAATTCCTTTAAAACCCTACTCCTCATACAGTTTTGGTCTGATTTCAATATAACTAAGCACACAAGTAGACTACACTATGATACATAATCTAGTGCATCGGTTTTTGATTTGGATGAGCGGTGTTGCCATGGTTACTAAAAATAGAAATTTCTGTGAAATTCCTTTTAAACGCTACTCCTACTACAGTTTTGGTCTGATTTCAATGTGATTTGGCATACAAGTAGACTCTATTAAGATTCATAATTTAGTGCATCGGTTTTTGATTTGGATGAGCGGTGTTGCCATGGTTACTAAAAATAGAAATTTCTGTGAAATTCCTTTAAAATGCTACTCTTCCTACAGTTTTGGTCTGGTTTCAATATAACTTGGCACACGAGTAGTCTACACTAAGATACATAATTTAGTGCATCGGTTTTTGATTTGGATGAGCGGTGTTGCCATGGTTACTAAAAATAGAAATTTCTTTGAAATTCCTTTAAAACCCTACTCCTCATACAGTTTTGGTCTGATTTCAATATAACTTGGCAAACAAGTAGACTACACTAAGATACATAATCTAGCGCATCGGTTTTTGATTTGGATGAGCGGTGTTGCCATGGTTACTAAAAATAGAAATTTCTGTGAAATTCCTTTAAAACCCTACTCCTCATACAGTTTTGGTCTGATTTCAATATAACTTAGCACACAAGTAGACTACACTAAGATACATAATCTAGTGCATCGGTTTTTGATTTGGATGAGCGGTGTTGCCATGGTTACTAAAAATAGAAATTTCTGTGAAATTCCTTTTAAACCCTACTCCTACTACAGTTTTGGTCTGATTTCAATGTGATTTGGCATACAAGTAGACTCTATTAAGATTCATAATTTAGTGCATCGGTTTTTGATTTGGATGAGCGGTGTTGCCATGGTTACTAAAAATAGAAATTTCTGTGAAATTCCTTTAAAATGCTACTCTTCCTACAGTTTTGGTCTGGTTTCAATATAACTTGGCACACGAGTAGACTACACTAAGATACATAATTTAGTGCATCGGTTTTTGACTTCTATGAACGATGTTGCCATGGTTACTAAAAATAGAAATTTCTGTGAAATTCCTTCAAAATGAAATTCCTCCTACAGTTTTGGTCTGGTTTCAATATAACTTGGCACACAAGTAGACTACACTATGATACATAATTCAGAGCATCAGTTTTTTTATTTTGATGAACGATGTTGCCTTGGTTACTAAAAATAGAAATTTCTGTGAATTTCTTTTAAAACGCTACTCCTCCTTCAGTTTTTATTTGATTTCAATTTAACTTGGCACACAAGTAGACTATATGAAGATATATAATTCTATTTATTGCTGCATGTTGCAAAGTTTCGAATCCAAGTGCTACTTTTTCTTTGTTACATGTATATGTACAGACCAGTAGAGCTACAGTCTCATCAGAGACTTCTGGTTCAATAATATCAGGGGTACCTATTTCTTGTCTGCGACTCCTCCTTTACCACTGAATGAAATTTAATGATACTGAGTTATCATTGTGTGAGGTCAATGCTCACAGAACCTCTAGTTTTTTTTAGCTCTACTGGTCAGAGACCAGAAGAGCTTATGCGATAGTAAGGTGTCCGTCGTCCGTCTGTCTGTCCATCTGTCTGTAAACAATTTTTCAAAACGCTACTCCTCCTACAGTTTTGGTCCGATCTCAATATAACTTGGCACACAAGTAGACTACACTAAGATACATAATTTAGTGCATCGGTTTTTGATTTCGATGGACGGTGTTGCCATGGTGACTAAAAATAGAAATTTCTGTGAAATTCCTTAAAAACGCTACTCCTCCTACAGTTTTGGTCCGATTTCAATATAACTTGGCACACAAGTAGACTACACTAAGATACATAATCTAGCGCATCGGTTTTTGATTTTGTTGGACGGTGTTGCCATGGTTACTAAAAATAGAAATTTCTGTGAAGTTCCTTTAAAACGCTACTCCTCCTACAGTTTTGGTCCGATTTCAATATAACTTGGCACACATGTAGACTACACTAAGATACATAATTTAGTGCATCGGTTTTTGATTTTGATGGACGGTGTTGCCATGGTTACTAAAAATAGAAATTTCTGTGTGAAGTTCCTTTAAAAGCTACTCCTCCTACAGTTTTGGTCTAATTTCAATATAACTTGGCACACTAGTAGACTACACTAAGATACATAATTTGTTGCATCGGTTTTTGATTTCGATGGACGGTGTTGCCATTGTTACTAAAAATAGAAATTTCTGTGAAATTCCTTTAAAACGCTACTCCTCCTACAGTTTTGGTCTGATTTCAATATAACTTGGCACACATGTAGACTACACTAAGATACATAATTTAGTGCATCGGTTTTTGATTTTGATGGACGGTGTTGCCATTGTTACTAAAAATAGAAATTTCTGTGAAATTCCTTTAAAACGCTACTCACCCTACAATTTTGATCTGATTTCAATATAACTGGCACACATGTAGACTGCACTATCATACATAATTTGTTGCATTGGTTTTTGATTTTGATGAACAGTGTTGCCATTGTTACTAAAAATAGAAATTTCTGTGAAATTACGTTAAAACGCTACTCCTGCTACAGTTTTAGTCTGATGGTTACTTAAAGTAGAATTTTTTGTGAAATTCCCATAAAACGTTACTCCTCCTACAATTTTGGTCTGATTTCAATCTAATTTGGCACACAGTTAGAATACACTACGATACATAATATGCATTTCTGTTTTTTTTTTTATTTCGGTGAATGGTGTTGTCATGGTTACTAAAAATAGAAATTTCCGTGAAATACTTTCAAAACGCTACTCCTCCTACAGTTTTCGTTTGATTTCAATTTAACTTGGCACAGAAGTAGACTACATTAAGATACATAATTCTATTTATTGTTGCATGTTGCAAAGTTTCAAATCCAAGTGGTACTTTTCTTTTGTTATACGTACCGACCAGTAGAGCTACAGTCTCATCAGAGACTTCTGGTTTACTTTAGAGTTGGGGCTAATGTTAGGCTGCCAGGGTCAGATTATGTGTTAGGGTTGAGCATGGGTCCATAATGTGTTATTGAAGTTCCTCAATAATTAAGTTTTAAGAAGGCATGAATAAGTTTCATTTTCATCAAACTCTGATTTAGTTCAAACACAGATATTGTGAATTCACAGTTATAGCAAAGTTATCATTAATTCCCAGGTATATAAATTTAACAAATTTCTTACACGGATATAACGTACTATTACAGATATAAAGAATTACAGATATAACGAAGTAATTTCATAGGTACCAGTGGCTTCTGTTATAACTAAGGCGTTTTACTGTAATTTCTTACTGATAACAGTAAAGCTCACTCTCTACCATTGGCTCATACATTCACCTCTGTTGTTGGCTTGCGTATATCACAGTGATAAACACGAGAAATGATGCGTTTGTTTTAATTCATTACAATTCAATTTCTATGCTTATGTCTACGTTTTGAGATAGATATTCACTAAATAAATCAAGAACTATTAATTTAATTTGAAACAATCCTGCAAATATCATGTTTTATACATTATGTCAAAAATCTTGATGTGAGCCCATTGCAGAGGTGTCTGAGAGAGGAACGAACGACATTTACTCTGCATAGGAGATTGAGTAAAGCTGTGATTGTTCATATTTTTATAGAAGTATCTTTGTAAATTCAGATTTGTTAAAGTCATGTTGAACAGGGATAGGGACTGCTTAGTGCCTAAATGAAGGAGGAAAGTTTAAAATAGGAATAATCCTTGACATTTTTCATCTTTGGGAGCACTGGGCTTGAAAATTGAACACTCTTATCATGCTTATGGAAGCTTCTTGTTATAGTTTAAATTCAATTTTGAGCAAATCATGACCCCTGGGGCTAGGGTCAAGCCTTGATTGCTAATCAAAGTTCTGAGAGATATTACATATAAAAATTGTCTTTATATCTTCTGATTTTTCAGTTGTAAGAAATATTGCATGGAAATAATATGTTGTAAATTCTTCTGATTGTGCATTTTTACATGGAAGTGACCTCGGGTATTGTAGATTCAAGTTTGTTAAAGTCATGACTTTGTGGGTTACAGGAGAGTGGGCCTCAACGAGTGATGAAGGTTTTACGCAGAAATGATTTGAAAAATTTTTTGCTTTTATCTATATAGCCATTAGTTCAGAAAAGTGATGTGGACTCTTTGTGTTGAGATTTATAGAATTGGGATGGTTGATTATGAAAAATTTCCTCACAGGGAAAGTCCAGTATCAATGTTGAGGTAATTGGGAAAGGTTTTGTGAATTGTAATAGAATTATCAGTTGGGTATAATGGGTACGTATGGTTTTTTTTTTTAAGATAGTTAAGGTTTTTATTACATACAATTATTTACATTAATGATATTGATGCATGTATATTTACAAAAACCATATTAATGTATGTTACAATTCTGTGAAAGGTGTTATATTGAGGTATTATAATTCGATCCCTCTGATCTCAGCCAGGCCTGTTCAGTATCTTGCTATTTTGCTATAGATCGAGTTTATTGAATACCACGTACATGCCAAGCACAAGTTAATTAACAAGGAAAAATGTACAGATTTTTTTTTTTCATTTACTTTTAGGGTCCATTGCCAATCACTATCTATGTGGTTGAGGATGTATTGCAACGAAAGTACAGCAATGGTGGTGTTTATGGCACTACGTATGCTACAACCTCTGCAAATGATTTCAGAAGTATAACAGCCCTGATCTCTCATGAGAAGCACCTTCCCTTGCTCCAGTGTGGGAAGACTTATATTGCGCTCAAGTACATGTCCCTACAAGACGGATCGATTAAACTGGGACAGCAAACTGTGGTGAGTATAATCTGAACATGTATTACTGATAGTGCTGAAAAAATGATCGATAGCATTTGATTTGATTGACAGTTCATCTGCGTGTGGTACCTGATAACTTGAGTTTGTAAGGTTTGAAAGTTTATAATTGAATATACTGTAAAAGCACCAAGAGGTCAAATTTTCATGGTTTGAGAATTCCATCTGGGAGTTGATGTACTGGTTGAAGAATAGATCAATAGTAAAATGTGTCAAAAATTACATTTCGTGGTGGACATATTATTAGTAGGTGTATGTCTTCATACCTTGAAAACAAGGAGAATCATACCTTGATTTCATGAATATTGCTGTTATGTATGTGTCAGTGATATTACGTTTGGTGCAACTTGATGATATCACAATTAAGATAGTAAACTGCATTACTTTTCATTAGGAAAAAGGGGCTTAATTCCTAGCTCTTTTTTTCTTCATTGACTGTGACAGGGATCCAGAGAGGGAAAACATTTTTGATTGAGCTCAGACTGATAAATTTCCTTTAGTTTTTCTTTCAAACTGTGTCTTGATCTTTGGGAATTTCTCATGCTTTGCATTGAGTACAAAGTTCTAACACAATACACTATAAATTATAATGTGGAATACCTGTCTCCATTATGGAAGTAAAATTTTTCTATTTTTAGAATTTTGGAAAATTATTAGTTTGAATTTCTTTCTCCATTATTTATATACAGCTTATGCACACTAAGAGACCAGCCGAGCTGAAGGAAGATGTTGTGAAGGAGTTTTGTGAACCGCCAGTTATTGAGGAGCTGGGAAGGATTTCATCCTTCAACATCAAGCTGAGGGTGTCAGTGAAAGGAGAAGTCACTAAGGTGAGTATATATCATTTGGAGATCAAAAACATAGGGAAGACTCTCTTTAAAGTAATTGATGTGTAGTAAAACCATGGAAAAGCATGCATATGAATTGGGAAGCATTATCAAATAAATAAAATACTCTTTAAGAAAAGCTTAATGTAGAGAATGAGGTATATCAGAATTTCATTGAATCATTTGGTGTGTGAAACATCTCTATGTCTCCACAAGGCAGAAATATGTGAAATATAATCACAGTCATTATGAGTTCTCTATTTCAATTTTTTTTTTTTTGCATTATATGTTTAGGTGACTGATACCATCCATACCAATGGCACCAAGAGGAAGATAATGACGTTGTCTGATGGGAATGCCACAATTGAGGTCAAGTTGTGGGGAGACTTGGTTGACACGCAAGTGTTTGAGGGCTCTACTGTGGTTGTGACGTGTGTACACGTAGACGTATATCAGGAGAAGAGGTCTTTGAATTCGTCGGGAAGCACAACAGTAAAGGTATTCACATATTGAATGAAACGAAGAGTTGTGTTGTTTTTATAATAATAGCAAGCATTAAATGTTACAGGATTGTGATAAAAAGAAATGCAAATTATAATTAATGCAACTATTTCGATCTTCAATTGAAAACAATTAAGTTCAAATTTAACATTGTAGATTGCGGACAGTGAGGAAGAGTTCTCAGGCACAGTTAATGGAGTTTCGTTTGAAGAGTGAGTTATTATACCCATTTGTTCCTTTATAGATATGGAAGAATTGTTTCATTTTTAGAGGGGGACAGGTGACCCCATCTATTACTTTACTGTCAGAGCTTTGAAAACATAAGCCAAGATGATAACACATGAATTAAATCTATGCTATATCAAAGAGCGCAGAAATAGTTTTGATATAAATATAAACATTCTGTTATTTCTGTATCAAACTGTAGAGAGTGATATGAACTTTTTTTAAATCAAATTAATAGAGCATTTTGTAATTTCAATTCAAGTGTTAGTTTTCAAACTGTATTGTTTTTAATTAACAGATCCAATTCCTCCATCCTCCTGGATGACGAGTTTCTGGCTTGCTCCTCAGAACAATTGAGAGAGATCTTTCCTGGAGGGAATTTTGTTGAAAACTTGAAGGTGAAGGGGAGGAAGAGGAGATCAGTGATAATGTCAATGTAAGCAAAATTTTTATAATGATCATATACTGTGGAGTTAATGTTCAATATTCGGTGAAAGAGAAAAGAAAGAAATGGTGGAATAAAATGTTAATATTGATATTAAGAATGCAGTAGAATTTGTTGATGATTTAAGCAAATGGAAAGATTCATATATGTAATGGTAGAAATAGAGAGTTGAAATTGATTTTTGTGAAATGTTGCAGTGAGATGGAAGCAGAGTCTACTGGATGCAATGCTACGGAAGCAGAGCCTACCGTTCATAGTGGTGACGCAGAGCCTTCTGTTCATACTAGTGGGGTGGACGCTAAGCCATCAACTTGCAGTGGGGTGAATACAGAGCCAGACCTTTGCAGTGGAAGAAGCCTTCTAGAGGAGTTAGAAGCTATTTTGAACTGAACTACTGTGCTGTGAAAAACTTACATTACATGAAAAGGGCAGAAAATGATCTTCATCCTGTGTTAAATAGAGTCTGTGGTAGGTGTATTGTATATAGTTTTCTAATTTTACATTATGGCAAGAACTGCTCATTGTGTCTTTTTTTTGTACCTTGTATTAGAATGGTAATCACTTAAAGATTTTCTCAATTTTCTCAAGAGTTCCTTTCAACTATCATGAGAAAGAATTTCAAGTCCCTTTAAACTGTGTTATAATAGTTGTGATGTATGTGCATTCCAGTACATTGTAATATTTGTGCCAAATGGTTTTATTTATTTCAAAGTGGTTGTGATATCCAATTTCAAATATCCAAGTTCATTTCATATGTACCCTATTTATTTATTTCTAGTGCAAACCATATACAAGATTATATCTTGTATATAGTTGGAAAGGGAAGCAATGATTGTATAGTTTATTTCTGTCTCTTAGATTCTAGTTTAAGATTTCACTGAATGTGTTAAAAAGTTTTCTTGTTTTTTTATGAGTTGTATATTCTCTTTCTTTTTGTTTTAGATATGCTCATGTTTTCCTTTCCTTAATATTTGAAATATGTATGGTTCAATATCATATGACAAATGCTATTTTTCATGTGATCTACGAAAACCAACTTCATTTACAAATGTTTCATATTAAAGAGAGCAATGATTCATGAAAAGAAGGAGAGAACCTGTACATGTATTGTACATTTTGAAGGATGGAAGATTTTTTTATTAAATGATTTACAATTTTGCATACTGTTTCTTATGTTTCATTAGATGTCAATGGTAACAGTGCATGTATTTGATGCATATAATAGTATAGGACACCTGGCTCCTAGATCATGAAACAAACTTAGACTTAAGTCAAAATTTTCAATCACTTATAAAATATTAAAAAATTGTGAAATCTATTCCAAAATTGCAGATAACAACATTTCTGTCAATAAATATTGAAAAAGTATTTTAATTTTGGTGTGCTTGACTGCTACAACTTTTTATTATCAAATATAGATTTTGACTTAAGATTAAGATGTTTCATGATCCCAGGTCCTTGTTATCAATGGAAAAAATAATTACTTGTATCAATAATGGGTGATTCAGCTTAATTCTTATAAATAGATATAGTGAGTACAGCTCAATGAGAGTAGTATAAAATTGGTTAATTCCTTATGGGGTCTTAGTTGAATTTTATTCATGTCCAATGAGAATGACTGTCCTGAATTTTAAAGATATGATAATACAAGCTGGAGTTTATTGCTTAATATGTATCCAAGTAAAGCTTTGAAAATATTTGACACCAAATTTTAAATTGATATATACTTGTCCCTTTTAAAGGTGAATACATTTGTGAAAGGTACATGAATTTGTTGCGCATTATTCTCTTGTGCTATGAAAGATCCTTGTTATGAAAAAAACCATAACATGTAAGCAGTGTAATCAGTTCTCTACCTGTGAAACTCAAGTATAAAGGTCGACTATAGTGTGCTGGTACCCATGATAAGGAAGCAGTCTGGCCCCAAAACCATAAATTTAGAATAGACTTGCATCAAAATTAAGGTTGTGAATAGTTTGTGATCTACAATATTTAAATTTTGTAGGTTTGTTTAATTTTTTCCAATTTAAGCCCATGGTAGAAGTTTTGTTTTGTTATCTATATTATTTCAAAAGTTATATAGATTTGAAATTTTGACTGAAGTCTGTTCTCAATTTATGGTTTTGCGACCTGAGGTGTAATGAAACTGATAAGAGCAGACACTTCTCTGACCTTAGCTAAAGGCGTTAAGTCATAATTAAAGCTAAAGGAATATACTTATTTTATTATGATATGCGTGGTAATGAATTAGAATATAGTGCATATTAATATTTACATACCGGTATTTGTTTAACTTGCACTTCACGCAAGTTTCAGTCAATACTAAATGTTGAACAGCAGAAAATCGTATATGCTAACATAAGACATTTATGGTATGTCATGATCGGGACCAAAAATTTCAATTTTCATTCATCTTAATTGTTAAATTCAGTGTTTTGAATTTGTCGAGTAAATTTTCCAACTTTGGGCACTCAACTTTTTCTTGTTCCAAAAAAATGTAGCTATTATTTTGATACAAGAAGAGAAGTTTGTCATAGAGAAAATAACAAAATATCCGAGACCCTGTGCCATTTATTATTTGAAAATGGTAATTAATATTTAAAAGATATGCATATCATATAAGTCTCTTAGACGAAATAAAGAAATAAATTATTTTCTACACACAAAGCTGTAAAATGGATGCTTTTGTAGAGGCACAACAAATCATTTACACATAAAGCACCCTTAAAAACTGTATTTACAATACAGATTTCTGCATTTACAATGCAGATGTGATGTATTAATATAATTAAATATATATTTACAAATTGAAATTGTTGATAGTGTTTAAATATTTTATGTAGAAAAAGGGCAGAGTATAAATATTTTATGCTTTCAAACTGGTCCCTGAAGTTTTTGAATTTTAACAGAAGTAGGAATGTAAGAAATGGAATGTTTCCTCTCCGATTTTTAATTTTACACGGGATCGAGATCTCAAGTTTTCAATCTTGTACTTCCGGTTTAAGATCATAACAGCATTACATTGTGGTGAGATTTTTATGAATCTGTATTCAAACGTTATTTAATTTCCTCTCATAAGCTTTAAAACTGCCCGTTGTAACTAATGCCAGAAGAATTCTCATATTTTCGTCGCTCATATTTTTAAGTCTAATCAACAATGTTCAAAACATGGATCGCTCTCTTAAAGTTGTCCCTTTGCAAGGTCAGCCAAAAGGGAAAGGAATGGCATCTCATTTTATGCTACAAATCATTTGGGCGTGCTCCGATAAATCCAACATGTTTCATCTTTAATCACTCGACATGTGGGTAACTTCTAGTCCCAGTCTGGGGAATTAAAACGCAGGATTCAAAGAATTAATCAGTTGACAAAGTTACAAACCCAGAATACTGTAAAAATTACTGTGAAGATTCTATGGGTTTGTCCCTAGACATGGCGGCCGAGAGACATACAATAAGGAGAAAGTGAAATCAACTAATTATGGGAATGGGATTATTCCATTAAAAGGTGTATGTGATATTCCAAAGCCTAAATAAATGAACTAATTAAACAAGTATTTACAGATTTATATACATGCATGTAAATAAATTCAACAAGAATTTACAGAAATATATACATGTGTGTACTGTTTTTCAAATGTAGCACTGGAGAAATTATTTAACACTTCATTAAGGAAATTCAAACTCCCTTACCAATACCTCTTGTCATTTATGATTGGAATTTATATTTATGTCCCTAAGTATATATTTAAAACAAATAGTACACAATCTCAAAATGCTTATTTGTAAGTAGATACTGTTTTTTGAAGAGAATTTTAAATCTTTTAAAAACAAACATATTTTGAGAACTCAAGAATTATATCATTGTCCATAAGACACAGGTAATGAAATGAACAATGTAAGGTATTGCTTTCTTACTTGTAACCTTTGTGTGGTCAATGACAAGGAGCCCATATTTAGCTAGAGCATCAAATATGAGTGAGATAAATGAACAAATCTTAATAATTTATGTAAGGAAATTTCTTTGAAATTTTCCTCCTAAGTAATTTTAGTCTGTAAACCTAATAATAACGGGACCCTATCCTAATGCTCCTCACTTGATATTAAAGTGATACCTTTTGCACTTGTACTGTATTTCTGCTACAATTTGTGTACATTACTAATGATAACTTATTTTTGAAGGGATGTTGATAGATATTGCTTCATGGTAACTGTAATATGTTGGGCAAAGGCTAACTTGGATGTTTGTTGGAGGTATTGTAGTGTAGACATGGTCTATGAGTGTTCTATTGTCAGTTGTTGGGAAAGTCACTAACTGATGGTATCCAAATTGCTCCATGTGCTTCTGAATTGGTGTTGGTGAAGTCAATAAATTCTCATTAAAATCACCCATAATGATACTGTTTCTTGAAGTTTGCTTCAGTACCTTGAGAAGCATTGTTAAATTCTGTAGGAAGAACTTGGTAGGGTAAACATTGGGTCTGTAAATGACAACTATTGTGATTTCAGCAACTGTATCTTTAAGCATCATTCCCTCTATATTTTCTAATGGAAACTGTTCTCTTGCTATGGTGCTGTTGTCTTTTATATATGCTGCAACTCCACCTCCTTTTGCTTCTTTCAATTTGATGAAAGTCTCATCTTGTCCTGAGTATGCCTGATATCGGGAGACATGATGTAACTGAAAGTCTTCCAAGGCAAAATTTTCAAGATTTTGAGAATCTGATAACCATGTTTCTGTCAAACATATTAAATCTGCTTTTCTAAATGTAACATCATGTAGTAATTCAACAAAATGATGTTGTAAGCTTTGAATGTTGTGCAAAACAATTGATCTATATGGTACATCTTGATTGCTTACTGTGAAAAGATGTTGCATTTTAGACATGGCATCTGAAATCTTTTTGTCAGCATAGACTTTATTATGGAAAATCTGTTCATTTGCAACAGAAATACTTAAACCCCTCTCAGTTGTCACCCTGCTTAAAGCCACATAAGCCTGTCCTGCAGAAAAAGTGCGATTGAGGTCTACAACTATTTCTGAAGTTGTCATGCCTTGTACTTTGTGTGCTGTACATGCCCAGGCCAGACGTAACGGAAACTGGTGCCTAACAAAATTTTTGTTTGATGATGTTCTCATATCCTCTTCATATCGATTAACTGTCACAATAGTAACATTTCCTACATTTTGTCCTGATTTCTTTCCCACATTTTTATTATCGAAAGAAATATCTATTGCCTTCACTTCTGCACTGATGTTATCCTTCACAATTTTGACCACTGTTCCAGTAACGCCATTCACAAGTCCATCTGCAACACAAATATTGCGAATTAACATAACCCTAGCATTAACAGATAGCATTAATGAACTTGTCATACTGTCATTCTTGCAGCGAACAAATGGAGTGTCTCGCAAATGTAGTTTTCCACTTGTCTTGTCCCTTTCAAAATCTTTTGCTGGTATTTCCTGGATGTTTTCACAAGTTTTCCTGATCATATTCAAGTTGAAATCATTCACTTCTTCATTGGTTGAAAAAACATGAAGAGCCTCTTCATTTCCATCTCTAACACAACGCTTCAACATTTCAAGGACATCAGGATGTAAATCTTCATTTAACGTTCTTGTGCGTATTGAATTTAATTTCTCAGCAAATGATAAATCTTCTTTCTGGCGCATGACCTCCTTCAATTCTACAAGTTTGAAATACTCATTCCAAAAATCCTCTGGATATGAGCCATTTTCCATATAGAGTCTCTCACCCTGTCGCTGTTTTACAGGGGGTAGTTGATAGAAATCACCTACAGCAAGTATAGAAACACCACCAAAAGGTTTCTTGCATCTCTTTACTTGAACTAGTCTTTCATGTATATAATACAAAAGCTTTTTGTACACCATTGAGATTTCATCTATGATAAGAATTTTCAATTCTTCTAATTCAGCTCGTATTGGACTAAGGCTCTGCTCTTTCAAAGGTTCATAAGGAAAAGGCATGTACTTATTCAGACAAAATGCATGGTGTATTGTGCAGCCACCTATGTTAAATGCTGCAGTTCCTGTGAAAGCGGTGAGCAGAATACATGTTTTGTCAGGTTCAGTACAAGATTTTTTCAAGATTTCATTTGCTACGTGTTGAACACTTTTGATAAGATGACTTTTTCCTGTTCCAGCTCCTCCAGTAACAAATATATGAAAAGGTTCAGGTTTGGTGTTGTCAAGTGTTTTAAGACACCAGTCTCGCACATGATACATCACATTGCGTTGGTTTTCATTAAGGGTTCTTAACAAAGGCATCAATTCTTCTTTTGAGTTACACTTTGTCACAGTATATGGAACATCAAAGGGAACATCTGAGGGTGACAAGTCTGGTATGGCTTGAGTGTTGTCATTAACATCAACTTCCTTCCTCTCTTTAGTTTTACATGTGTCCCTTTCAAGCTCAGTTTCAGGACATAAAGTTGCCCATGCGTCTTCAACATCACCTAGTATTTCATACATTTCCTGTGCTTCATCTAGAGCTTTTTCATTTGGTGCAAATTTTGCTAAGTTTGCATCTACGATTTGCTTCACAGATGCAAGATTTTCTCTGCCTTCCAAGCTGACATGTCCATTTTCATAAAAGGCTTGGTATGTGTCAAACCCTGGAGGTTTAAGGTGACAAATTTGGCGATGTGGAAGATACAACTGAAGTATTGATTGGAAATGCTTTTCAGGTGTTTTTTCTGCACTAAATCTTGGGTATCGAATAACTGCAGGTTCTGATCTTGACCGCCTTTGAACGAAACCTTTATTTTCTAGCAATTCATAAACTCCTTCATGTGCTTCTTTTGGAATCTGTGACTTAGCTAGAACTCTAAATTCAGAGCAGAAAGTTGCAAGGCACATGCATGGGAAATCACCATTCAATGGTCTAGCTTTGTAACGGTCAACAATACTAGTCATCCATAAATCCTCTTCATCATCAATTTCTAAATCAGTCTCCTGTTCATGTTTATGTGTTTTGTCCTTGGTTAAGAGTGACAGGGGCTTACTTAGCCTAGTTGGATTCTCGCCCACAGGAATGAAAAGTACTTTCCTAGAACATTCACGCATCCTTAAATTGCATATTCGGTATACTGCTTCTTGCACACTCACCTCACGGTGATGTAGATAAGCAGAGCCTATTTTCTTCATCGTTTGCTTGGCATTCATATTTCCCTCTGCAGCTTCAATCTTTGTCTGCTTCAAAAGCATACCCATCTCTCTTTCCGCTTTTGATATGTATGAAACAACATAAACTATGCAACTGAATGGATCTAACACAAACTGAATGTCCATATTAGCATCCCAGCATTTCAATAAGTATGGGTTGTACTGGTTTGTCCACAATTCATTTGGGTTTCTCCTCAAAATAACTGACTGCTTTGACCCAACAAGGTTGTAAGCTTTCTCATAAATGTCTTGAGGTATATTCAGTTCACTAAAGAGTTCAGCTGTTGTTTTCCCACAATCAAAATGCTCATCCTGAATTTTTTCCCAAACACATTTTAGTATGTTTTTAGCATGAATCTTTTGCATTTCAGTATCATCATCATCATCATCATCATCATTTTTGTCTAGAAATGGGGTGGTAATAAAAGTTTTGCAAGTGGGAGGTCTAGGAAAGTTAAAACGACACTCCTTTCCTCCTTTTCTGCAAGACTTGGAGTGTTTCTTGCTATGCTGTTGGACTTGAAGAACTGTGTCATGTAAAGTTGGTTCTTCGTCTTTGACTGGGATGGAACATGTCACATATTTGTCAATAAAATCACAAACAGCTTGTTTCCCATCTTCAAGCAATTTTGGAGCATCTTCAACCCAAAAAAGACAGTGGACATGTGGTGAGCCTCTTTGCTGAAATTCGACTCTGTAAAAATAATCTTTAATTTTTCCTATTGGTTGTGCTGGGCTCAGAATAACTTCATGCAGAAATATGTGAAACCTGTGCTCAAACATTCTTGCGACTGTTACTGGATTTGCTTTCAAAAGTTTGCTTTTTTCTGTCCAATCCAATTCATCAGCTACTCTTGTATCACCTTCTTGATTAAGCAATATATTTATAATTTCACTCCAGCGAAATTCAGCTGAGGAAAATGAACAAAACCAAGTTGGAATTCCCAACTGTCTCAACATAGCAAACAAATCTTTCTGCACATTCTGCCAAAATGAAGGTGTTCCCCTTATTGGTTGTAGAAAACGCAAAGCGTCATCATTTTTAAACAGCTTCCTTAAAGTGTCAGGATCTTTCAGCATATCGGTAGTGATTCTTGATCCATGCTTTGTTCTTTCAAATGATTTTCTTAAAGAAATTTGCGTTTTATCTATAACTTGCTTCAGTTCTGATAAATACTGACTAAAAAAAATGTAATCAGTGTCTTGTGAAAACCTTCTGTCAACATGCATGAGTCGATTGTTGAAATACTTTGACAAAGTTATGTTGATACTCCGTTCCTCTGTCCAAGTGTTTTTTCCATTTGGAAATAAGTGAGGGAAAGCTTTTGCTTCATTTCCTTTCTCTTGAAGCATTCTTATAGGATTTTTACCCTCAGCTGGTGCAATGTTGTATATGTCATCAAAATAATGATCCAACACTTCTTGTCCTATGTCTGAAGGTTGAAGGCATGTGTCATATTGAATGCCAGTCATTGCATTATTATTGTTGTCATCATCACCAGCATCATCATCTTCTTGTTCATTTTCATGTTCACCAATTTTAAGATCAGACTCATGCTGGTTTTCTACTTTTTTGTCCTCATATCTTCCAGGTAATATTGTTGCATCTGCATACCATTCATTATGTTCCTTTAAGTAATCTAAAGCATGCTGGATGTGTAATGGGTTAACAAATTGATATTCATAATATCCCTTGTACTGAAGCTTACGTTTCAGTTTCACTTTCACTACCATATCATCTTGTTCCATTCTGGGTAAATGTTGAACTTGTGTGATATCTGATGGCACACAAACAACAGGACCATGAATTGCATGTTGCCCTCCTTTTGGTAAAGCTGCTATCTTCATAAATGGAATGTGCATTGAAACCAAATGCTTTTCTAATGTATTAAGTTCTTTTAAAACGACTGGAATTTCTACTAGTCCCATATCATTAAAGACACTTTCTGCAGGTATTTGTCCATTTGATATTTTTCTGTGACAAGTCTTGCACAACCAAAGGGTTGAGGAGTTACAGTTTTCTGAACATTGCTCTGTGCATTTATGTATATAATCTTCTGATATACATTTTTCAGCAATAAGCCTAACGGACTCACACTTGTTCATGAAATGATCTGATTGGATGCGTTTTACTTGGTTTTCAAACAAGAGTCTGTGACAACAAGCACATACACAACTGGGACCTTGAATGATTTTCATTTTGAAACTTTCCATTACATAGTCTATCTCCAAAAACTTCATCTTTTTTGACTTCTTCTGATCTTGACTGCTCTTCTGTATCTTCTGCTTAACCTCAGGGTTAGCTTTATATCTCTTTTTGTTGTATTCTCTCTTCTTAGTTTGGATCTCTTTTCTTTTGCTTTCATACCTGCTTTTACTCTGCTTTTTCAACTTTTCCCTGTGAGAGCTATTAATCTTATATTTTTCAATGCTTTTTTGTTGAACAACTGCTTTGTGTTTTGCATTAGTACTGTATTTCCTTTTACTGCTTTCTTTAAGATGGCATCTGTAATCTGCATTCTTTAAATACTTTGATTTTCCTGTCTCAAGTAATTTCTTCCTGTATTCCCTATTTCCCTTGTACTTCTCCTTGCCCACCTGTATCAAATTTTTCCTATACATGTCATCTTTCTTGTATTTTGCCTTGCTTGCTTCTACAACTTTTTTTCTGTAAATCTCATCATCTTCGTATTTCTTCCTTAATTTCTTCTTAACATGACTTTGGTCATAGTATATTCTTTTGGAGAACAAGACATGTTGTTTAAATTTTTCACTTGTTCCATATTGTTTTCTATACCAGACTCTTTTTCTGTTCCTTTCTCTCTCAACAGCTTCTAATGTTTGACTGGATAATTCCACGTTGTTTGAAACAGGGTTTGATTCTTTGGTCAACTCAATGCCTCTGCCAGAGACACAGTGGTAGTTTACAGGATTTCTGTTAAATACCGATACAACTACATTGTAATGATTTCATGATCAAGATATACAGCACCATCAACAGAAGTCCATTTTTTGTCGATCAAGTTGCCACTTAACTTTCTCCATGTATTATCTTCAAATGTGAAAATCGGAACTCTCAACATGTGTGATATAGCAATTATTTCAAATTCTGTTGCCCAGGAACCCAGAGTCCTTCTTGATTCAATGTAACTTTGTAAACTCTGATTAGATCTTAAAAGTTTTTCAAACAATGTGTGATTTTTCAACACATACTGACACATTTCATTGCGTATACTATCATGAGCATCTTCTGAACCTGACAAATAATATGACACTGCTCTGAAAAAACAATTCCCATCTCCCAAAACTTTCCAAGTTCGAAGTGGACCTCCTGCATCAGATGTACTCACACCTTGTGGAATATTATCCACAGAAAATGGAATGTGAAATTTTTCACACAATGTCTGTCTTATTTTGACTGGCATATGTTCAAATTTTGTAGCACTGGGTTCTTCTTCATAAGAAATTCTTACATCTTCATAACACTGTGTATTTGAAAGCGACTCATTCATTCCATGGTTAACATCTTCTAAACAATCAATTGACTTACAAGATACTCCGGTTATCTCACATTGGATTGCACATGGAATAGTCATGGAATGTGCTAATTCCATAATATGCATGTAAACATCATTTATATGCTTAACAAATTTGCATGTACTTTTCCCATCAGCAATTACTTTCCCACTAAGTGACCTGGAATGTGAATCAAAAAGGAAGAAACCCTGATTTAATTTTCCTACCATCATGGTACTTTCATGGAAGCATATAAAACATCCATCTGTTTCTTTTAATCCAGCACATAATGCCTCCATTAAACTTTTAGCATTGAATAGGCTCAAATCGGGCATTTCTTGATCAAAGTTTGCTGGAATCATGGTGTTTATTGACTCATGATATGTAAATGAAAACATCTCATTGTGTATTTCAAGTGCATCTGGAAGATCAGAAATTAAAAGATAATGATGACCAATACTTGTGTATTCTTGCAATTTGTCATACAATTCATTTCCACTCATAAGAATTTTGTCCATGTCTATTGTTTTCCAGAGATAGGCAGATCTCAATTTGTGATATGTTAGAGCTGATAAACAGTTAGGAACACACTGTAAACCTGCATTTGTCCCAAATAAGCCATTTCCCTGATTAAAGCTCCCTTGAATGCTAGGCCACAACGTTTGGCTTTCCTTTTCATTTGGTAATGGAAGTTTTAATTCTTTTCCATCACTTTCCTCCTGAATTTTGAAGTTTGTATTTCTGTTTTCAAGTTTATAACACACACATGTTAGACTTTTACACAAGGTACAGGTAAATTCTGAATTATCCTGTGCTGATTTTGCAAAAGACGGAAAATTTCCTTCAAAACTTAAACAAAACCCTGAAGTTGAGCTGTGAAATTGGCCCGGACTTTGACTTAAGCAATTTAACCCCCAATGATTATTTTCTCTTTCCCAGTTAGACTGCTTTTGATCTGTTACCAAGTTAGACTGTTCTATTTCTGTGACCAAGGCAGACTGGTTTTTCTCTGTGACCAAGTTAGACAATTTGTTATCAACAACCAAGTTAGACCTTTTTGCATCTTTTGTAATATCCAGACTATCTTTCATAGATAGTACTGGTTGCGTCTGATCTGCAAGGCATGGCATATTGCCATCTTGGTGCCAGGGTACACTCAAAGGTGTACAGACTGTATCAGTGACAGATACTCTGTTAGGAGTACTCACTGCAACAGAATCAGAGATCGGTGTCGTACACACGTATTTGGTACTCAGACTTCCCTGAGGAGATGCCAACCTCAGAGCATTTGTTCGATTCATTTTCTCATGATGAGAGGCCTGAATCTCGGCCAAAGGTTCTCCCAATGAAGGTGACAACCCATCAGAGGAGTCCATCTCAGCCATGTATCCAAGTCCTCTCTCTTCATGTCCTCCTTCATTTTGTGCATTCTTGACATTTCGTTTTTTGCGCTGCTTATCCTTGTTCCTCTCATTGCGCTCATTTCTTCTCTTTCTTTTAGGCATCTAAAATGATGAAAGTACTAAACACTGAGAAAAAACACTCTCTAAAAAATACAAGAGGTCCAAGGACCACATCATTCACCCGAGCACTGAAGCTCTGGAAATAGGTGAAATGAGTTTAGTATTGAAAAGTTCAAATCAATAAGTGTTCCAAATCTACCCTTTTCAAGGATGGCTTTGCTGTTCTTGGGAAGAAGACTTTTAAATAATCTCATATATTCATAAGTAAAACTTTGTTCATGCCTAGTGGCTGGCCCCCGCCGTACCCTTGGGGACATGATTTGAAAAAACGTGATTCTTCACCACCCAACAATGTTTTCATAAAAATATGAAAAACCATAGCTCTGCTATTCATGAGGAGAAATTTGCTAAATGTAAAACTTATATATTCAAAAACAAACATTTCATCATATCTTGTGGTCTCAACCTACACCCAAATGTCAAGATTTGAACGAACTTGATTTTATTAAATCGGACATTGCACTCATTTGAATTTCATCAATAAGGACTCTGCCATTCTTAAGAAGATTTTCATTTTTTTTTTTTTTATATATTCCTTAGAAAAAATGTTCATCCCTTGCAGATCTGCCTTACTCCCAGAAGTCATGATTTGAATATTGCATTTGTATGTGTATGACAAATAATGCCTTTGCTGTTTCAGTGAGGAAGATTTCTAAATATTTTACTTCTATATATGTGAAACTTTGATCATCCCTTCTGCCCTACCCCTTGGGATCATGATTTGAACGAACTTTTATCTTAACTACCCAAGGATGCTTTTGTATAAGTATGACTACTCATGGCTTTGCTATTTTTGAGGAAAGGTTTGAAATATTTTACTTATATATTCCAAATTTTTAAAAGCTTGATAATCTTTTATGGCCTCACCCTACATCCTGGATTCATGATTTAAAAAAAAAATTGAATATGACTAACCAAAAATGCTTTCAAATAATGATGAACAATCATTCCACCTAACCCTGCAGATCATCATTTGAACAAACTTTTACATAAAATTCCCAAGGATGCTTTTGTATGACTACTCATGGCTTTGTTATCTTAGAAGAAAGATTTGAAATATCATACTTAAATACTCCAAATATATAAAAACTAAATAATATTTTGTTGCCTCACATTGGATTCATGATTTAATAACACTTGAATATACACTAACCAAGAATGCTGTCCGAAAATATGAAAAATCATGGCTCTGCCAATCCTCGCAAGCCAGGGGTCCTGAGTCAACACTTTTCCGTTGGACCCCTAGCATATTATATTCAATATTTCTGGGCTGACTGTAGCGACGTCTTTCGGAAAAATTACAAATCCTGATTGTTTTTCTTATCTTTCAACCAATCACATTAAGCCATTTTATGATAAACAACTTGTAACATGTGCATTTGAGGTGTCAACTGAATCCTTATCTAACTATTTATGAAAGCTTTAATTTGATTGGTGCTTCTCAATGAGAGAAGCAAGCCCACGAATATTGAATGAAATATGCCAGGGGTCCAATGGCAACGTGTTGACTCAGGACCCCTGGCTTGCGAGAATGGGCTCTGCCATTCTTAAAGAGAAGAATCTTGATGATTTTTCTTATATATTTTAATGTAAAACTTTGAACATCCCTTGAGGCCTTGCCAAACTCCTCAAAAGCCATGATTTAAACAAACTTGAGTCTACGGTACCCAAAAATGCTTTCATATTATTTTAACAAATGTAGGATTTGATATTCTTAAATAGATTTTTAAATATTTCTGCTATATATTCATATGCAAACTTTGATTGCATCTTGTAGCTCCACTTTACCCTCGAGGGTCATGATTTGAATGTGCAGTACTAGAGGATGCTTTCATATGAATATGACCAATCATGGCATTGCTGTTCTTGTGAAGTACATTTCACAATATATTCCTAATATGATCGCATGTAATCTTTCATTGTCCATTGTGGCTTATATTCGCATGTAAACCTTTGATTGATCTTTGAGGCCCTGCCCTTTCTGAGGGGATCAGATCTGAACAATATTAAATATACACTACCCATAGATGTTTTCACATAAGTTTCATGTATTCTGGCACAGTAGTTCTTGAGATGAAGTTTTTTAAAACATGCCACTATATTTCCTTTAATTTTGAATTATCACCCCATTAAGGTCATACCCAACGTAGTTTGAACGTTATTGGGTTCTTCCCTGAAGTTGAAGAGTTCCACTAAATGAAGGACCTGTGTGCAATACTTTTAATGTCTATATATGGATTTGTACTTCCTATTTAAACAATTTTTGATGGAAAAAAATCTGGAATTATTGTTTTTGTAATTTTTGAACATTTTTATTTGAATAATGTAAAAATATTCACAATTTGGTATCTTTTCAAAACCCCTGGTAATGCATGCTGATTTTTTGTCTAAGAACATGTAATGGTAGTATTAGTTTTTATTTAGAATATCTTGAGAAATTATCACTTGGTAAGGTACCTTGTGTATGTCCTTAATGAGGGATTGGTCCTTCATGTGAACAAACTGAAATCCCCTTCACCAATGGATGCTTTGATGCAAGTTTAATTGAAATAAGCCCAATGATTCCTGAGAGGAAAGCTAAATTGAAACAATTTAACACACAAGCAAATGGATGGATAGACATGAATATTTGTTAGTAATTTAAACCTATCAAAGTGTTCAGTGGGTGGAGCATTCACAGAAAAGTCTGTGATGTAATGTTATTAGCAATGCAACTATTATGTCAAAAATCTGACATGCCATGTGAAAATCATAGTAAAATGAAGAGAATGCAGATACTTGGAAATGGCAGCGAGAATACTTTTTAAAAATAATTTTATTATTCTCGGACACGATGCATTACTTATCATACAATCTTTTAAACCGCATGCATTTGTGATTATGTCTCTCAAGTTTCTTTAAATGTCAGAATATGTGTTAGAAAATTTAAATATTATGTCCAGGATTGTTTGGTATTACAAAAAAGTTATAGAATGGGAACTCGAGAAATAGCAAATTTATTGTTCCCCTCAGTGGCAAATCGGGTAATAGTTTCCTTCCTCTGGGAACCATAAATTAGCTGTTACACTCGTACCCATTCCATAACTGTATACTATCCACTCTTAGAAGATTTTCATGCAATTATAGCCGCCAATTTTGATCAACAGCGATAAATCTATAGACATGATGTCATAAGTTCTGAGGCATTGTGACGTCATCAGGATTTCAGATTATTCTTGCAGTATTATCCTACCCAAAAAAATTTAAACCTCAGATATAATATAATACATCAGTACAATAAAAAGTTTGTTTGATGTTTGTGAGTGGGATAGCTCTTCTGTAAAACTCTTGACAGGTACTTTTCTTCGCGAGCAAGCCCTCAAGGATTAGTTTCCAGTAGCGGGTTTGATAAAAGAGATATCACACTTACAACCAGTTGATAAGTGCATATCATTTGTTCTTGAGATGGCAAATCTAATTTTCTACTCTTTTGTAAAACTTTCACCGTTCCCATACACCATTAAATTAAGATTTCAGGATTTAAACAATCATATATTTACCATACTTAAGGAACCTTACACATAAACTTTATTTTAACAAACCTAGTGGCTTCAGAAAAAATTCCATCATTATCTTCACAGATTTTTATACCCTCTGCTTGAAAACAGGAGGGTATATAGTAATTCATATGTCTGTTCGTCATCTGTTATGTTTAGGGGTACCCATCTATAATCCGTGATTCCTCATATTTCATTGAATGAAAGAATGGGTGGACTTAACTGGCCAGAGAAAATGCCAAAAATTTAAGTTCCATAAAATGTTAATTTTTTTCCATCATATAAACCCCCGATATCTGAACTGTGTATTTATGGTACGGATGTGAATTTAAAATGCTCTTTTAGAGGTAAACTAAATAAATATCGAAGACATGGTGCCTGAAGATTTCTTGAATATCAATAGATAATCAGGGTCACGCATTTTTCATCGTCTGAATACATAGTCAGCGCATGTCTGTCGGCTGTTCTTACGAAAACTGTAGTTGTATATTGAACAAAATAATGTCATTTTAAAAGGAGAAGAGCTGACAAACGTGTGCTCACACTTAATTTAACAAAAAAAACATGTTCAAAACAAACTTCTCGCTTCCATTGTTATGACTTCGATTGATCTGTTAAATATTACAATTCATCACGTGATGTCCACCTGCGAGTGTACTTGTGGAAACAGTTACATTGTATTCTTCAACCTGACCTCGATGTAAATCACTATGTTTGGTTTCCGTTTTCAGAAATAAGCACATTAAATGTTGTTTTAATATTGCGTGTCCCACATTTAAAAAAAATCATAATGACATCGCTGTAATATGTCAAACACGCATTCGAATTTCTAGAGAGAGATGGAGAGAGAGAAATGACATTAATGACACCGATCGATAGCCCCGCCTCCTATTAATATTGATAGCCTGACCTAAAAACCACTCCGGGTACATGTTTAATTCCAGAAAACGACACAAATGTATTGTTGCTTCAATTTTCATTCATGGCAACAAGAAATTGCTTTTGTACATATGTTCTAGCTTAACAATCATGTATACGTTGCTCTTTCTATTGCTTGTAATATATGTTAGATTCACTTGATTTTCAACTTCTTAGAGTAGTCGCAAAAAGATCCAAAATAGGGCGTTAAGTCCACCCATTCTTTAATGAGACTCTCACAGAATCTTTATTACATAATTCCATTTTGTACCTCCTATTTTACTCAATGATCTGTCACATATTTTGGCTTTCCCAATTCCCATAGCGAAACATAAACAGCGCTATTATATTCATATGGGAGGTGGGGGTATCATTTAGTGAGCTCATTGCTCACAGTTCCTCTAGATAATATTATCTCCCTTGGAAAACAGTGTGACCTTTTATATGTAAACAAATCTGAATCTCCTTCATACAAAAATACACTGTGCTCAGTTTGATTAATTTTAGCTTAGATTTGGTTGCTGAAAA